CAGGCGGCCAAAGCAGCGCTGAGTGGGGTGGGGACCCCCACACTGCTCACCCGCACGGTCGCCGGTGCGCAAAACGTAGGAGCACGGACCAAAACCCCCACCTCGCTGACGCGCAGTGTACCACTCACGAAGCTGCTGAGGGGACAAGGTGTCACGACCACGCTGCTGCTGCTGGCGCGAGCCACCACCGGGGCCACTCCTCTGCGAAGACCCGCGACCAGCACCACCTCCACCCCCGCCGCCTCCGCCGCCTCCGCCGCCTCCGCTACTGCCGCCGCCTCCACCTCCGCCTCCGCCGCCGCCACCTCCGCCACCCCCGCTCCCACTGCCACCGCCGCCGACACCTCCGCCTCCACTGCCGCCACCGACTCCTCCACCCCCACCTCCACTCCCACCGCCACCCCCACTCCCCCTACTGCCGCCACCTCCACCTCCACCGCCCCCGCTCGCTCCTCCAGCGCCCTTGCCCCCCTTGCCCTTGCCAGAGCGGCGTCTCCCAGTAGGGGCAGACGCCACACCGACCGACTCAAGACCAAGGAGGTCGGCCGCAGCAGCAGAGGCAACAGAGGGCAGAAGGGGGGAGGGGGAACACCCCTCAAAGATGGGGGTGCGCGGGTCACCACGAGAGGCCCCTACAGCGACTATGCTCTTCTCGGCCGCTAGGAGGGACTTCTCGAGGAGGTCAACAGTGAGAGTGGTGGGACAGACAGAGAGAAAGTGGTCCCTGACTACGCGAAGGGAGTCAGGAAGGCGAGTGACTATGTAGTAAAGAGTGATGTACATGGGGGGGGGGTTCTTGGCGCAGAAGTCAGGAGGGAGTGCAGTGCGGTAGCGAGTGTCACTAGTGCGGAGGTGCGTAATGAGGTCAGCGACTGTGGGAAAGGCAGCAAGGTCAGGAAAGAGGTACGGTAGCATGAGACGGCTCAGTGCAGCAGTGGCAGGGGAGGAGTAGCACGCAACTACAGCGTCGTACAAGGTCTGAGCACTCTTGTACTGACTAAAGTGTGCACGCTCGGAGGTAGGGAGGTGGCGACGCACAGCAAGACGTGCAGCAGCGTCGCGCGTGGCCCACTGGGAGCGAACAGTGGCGTCGGCGTCAGCAGCAGGGGCAGTGGAGGCGCCAGAGGTGAGGTCAAAGAGAGAGAGACCATCTGCCCTATCGCACTGTAAGAACAGCTGCAGGTCATCCACCCAGACCTCAAAGTCAATGGCCCGACCCTCAGCGTCAAAGACTAGAACACTAGGGGTAGCCATGACCCTAGACGACTGGCAGCGCAAACAGTAGGGTGAGGGCAGTGCAGTGAAAGGGCGCTGTGCTCACCAGACTGGACAGGTCGGGCGGCCCGGAAGGAGGGCGGCGCGGCGGCTCGGCGGGTCGGCTGCTGGGCGGCACGGCTGCTGGGCGGCTCGGCTGCTGGGCGGCTCGGCTGCTCTGCTGTCAGGCGGCTCGGTTGTGCTGCTGAGGGGCAGCACGGCTCGGGCTGCTCGGGCGGTGCGGGCGGCTCGGGCGGCTCGGGCGGCTCAGCTCCTCAGCGGCACAGGCGGCGTGGGGACCGAGACGGCGGCGCGCGGCTGGGACGGGCGGCGCACGGGTGGCGTGGGGCCGGGACTGCGGTGCGCGGCCGGGACGGGCGGCTCACGGGCGGCGCGGGGCCGGGACGGGCGGCGCGCGGGCGTCGAGGGGCCGGGACGGGCGGCGCGCGGGCGTCGAGGGGCCGGGACGGGCGGCGCGCGGGCGTCTAGGGGCCGGGACGGGCGGCGCTTGGGCGTCGAGGGGCCGGGACGGGCGGCGCGCGGGCGTCTAGGGGCCGGGACGGGCGGCGCGCGGGCGTAGGGGCCGGGACGGGCGGCTCACGGGCGGCGAGGGGCCGGGACGGGCGGCGCGCGGGCGTCGAGGGGCCGGGACGGGCGGCGCGCGGGCGTCGAGGGGCCGGGACGGGCGGCGCGCGGACGTCTAGGGGCCGGGACGGGCGGCGCGCGGGCGTCTAGGGGCCGGGACGGGCGGCGCGCGGGCGTCTAGGGGCCGGGCCGGGTGGCGCACGGGCGTCTAGGGGCCGGGACGGGCGGCGCGCGGGCGTCTAAGGGGCCGGGACGGGCGGCGCGCGGGCGTCTAAGGGCCGTGACGGGCGGCTAAAGGGGCCACTAGGGGCCAAGAGAGAGGGGAGCGCGACTCGGGTAGGGGCAGAGTGCGCTCCGGGCAGGAAAAAAAAAACGGTGGGCCCTAGGAACAGTTCCCACTAGGGAACCTGCTCGATACCATGATAAGAATGAAGAACGAGGATGAATGAACTATGAATGAAGTGAGTACATATAGGAAACCCTAATTGGGTTGTACCCCTTATGGGATACCCCACTATAGCCTACACAACAGCATAAGCTATATAATGTTCTGACAAGTCACCTACAAAAAAGGGGCATCGAACATCGCCGACGCATTAACCCGGCCCACAGCCCAAATCCACGCCATAGTACTAGCCCAGACCAGCCCACTATTGACAGGCATATTTTCCCACGGTTATTAGACTGACCCATTCTTCACAGGCGGAAACTCGCAGCAGTTTGCAGCAGCAAGAGGAGTCTATTACGTAAAAGCCGGCACCGATCGCATCTGGGTACCGGGCTACATACTCCTACGGGAATTACTGTTGCAAGAGGCACATGACGGAGTCACCTCAGGACATTTCGGAGTAGAAAAAACACGGCAGCAGCTGCAGCGGTACTATTACTGGCCCGAAATGTTGACCGACGTGCAATGACACGTGGCATCGTGCCCCACCTGCCAAGTCATGAAATCATCACGGAAGCGACCGGCAGGACAGTTGTAGCCGATATCACCCCCAGAGCGTGCCTGGCAGCAGGTGACGATGGACTTCGTCACGGGGTTACCGGCCGGAGCAAGTGGGAACGACGCGATCCTGGTCGTCGTCGACCGATTGACGAAAATGGCACATTTCGCAGCATGCAAAAAATCAATCACAGCCGAAGAAACGGCCCGCCTCTTCATCGCAACCGTTGTTCGGTTACACGGGATACCAGCCGCGATCATCAGCGACCGTAATACGAAATTTACCAGCAATTTCTGGCGGAACATGTGGCAGCAGTTCGGCACGAGGCTGTAGTTCAGTTCTTCGTACCACCCCGAAACCGACGGACAGACAGAGCGGGCAAATCAGACCATGGAGCAGTCAATCCGAGCCACGTGCGACGACCCCACCACCTGGGAACAGCAACTGCCACTAATCGAATTCGCGTACAACAATTCGCCATCCGCCACAACCCAACAGTCACCATTTTACATGAATTACGGACAAGATCCTACAGTACCCATGACTCTGAATCCCGACAACCCGGTGCCACGCGCGCAACAATTCGCAGAAGTCCTACAGGAAGCACGGACCAGGGCAGCAGACGCAATTAAAAAGGCCAACGTCATCGCTAAGCGCAATGCCGACCGCCACCGCAGACCCGTCACTTACCAGCCTGACGACTTAGTTCTACTCGACACCCAAAACCTCCGCCTGCCCATAACTCCGAAACTCCGCCCCCGATATTCTGGGCCATTTCGCATCAGCCACATGATTACACCTGTCACCGCCCACCTCCTCCTCCCTGCTGACTGGTACGTTAGCACGTCCTTCCACGTCACCCTGCTTCGCCCCTACTTTCCATCCACCAGCCAACTGGCCCGGCATCGCCCAGCCAGCATGACACGACCACCGACTGAGCCAGTCATCACGCCCGAGAAGATTCTGAGCCACCGAGTTCGTGACCCACGAGGAGCACGAAGGGTCGAATTCTTGATCCGCTGGAAAGATCGCACGCCCACCGAGGAGAATTGGGTCCCCCTGGGCAACATCGAAAACCATCCCGTCCTCAACGAGTACCTGCGCAGCCGAAATTTCCGAGATATACACGCGCTCTCGTAAGGGAGGCCTCCTTGGGGGGGGGGTAGTGTAAGGAAAATTCCTTTTCTTACTTCGCGTCCCTGCTCAGCACGTACACCACTGTTCCCACCAACAGCACCCCACAATATCCCGTTACCACTGGCGACATTCGCCTCGACACCATTCCCGCCACTGTTCACGATGCGACCCAACCTCACGGTTCGGTTGGTAACCCGCGCTCCGGACCTCCGCCTCGACAGTCCCCCAACCTCGGCATCAGGCCCGTCGCGCACCCCACTTTCCACATGTTACCGTTACCACCGTAGTTTCGCTATATATTCTTAGCTCAATCCTTCTCTCATTGTATTCTTGTCTCGATAGTGCAATCCTCTTTCATTCACTCAGTTGCACTCGTAACAGTGCTTGATTGTTCCGGTTCCTTCAGAGGTTTCACGTTTAAGTTTGGGGCACTCGGGAACACGTATACCATGACCCTAGGAAATCAATATACCGATCTGAACCAATACGTAATCGTTATTAACCCAACCAAACCGACAGCTGGGTGTGCGAGTTAGGCAGGATACTCGGTGTTTGCTCCAACCAGGAGTCACGAAATTCGTAGACTCATCACCTGAGCTTCCCACATTCGCGGGCCGCCATGGCCTCCCAGTTAGCCTGGCGGGCGGCTGCCACGTCGGCGCGTCGCGGCTTGAGAGAAGGCCAGCGTATCGTCGCTTCAATAACGTCATCTTCTCCTGTCCCCGGTGTGAGCGACGTCACCTCGGGATCTCCACGTACCTCAAGAGTATCTGGACCGTCCGATCACATCGATGTGTCCCCGTTACAAACCGTCGATCAAACCCTTCATGCCGCACTGCCATCAATCATGCTGACGTCATCCGTTCCTCTCCGCCATCCCCTTACCAGTTCCATCTCCGCGTGCATCCCTTGCGCTGATGCGATCGGTGGCTTCAGGGCGCTCAGATTGCTGCCACGTGGCGCTGGTGAGGGTCATGATTGGTTACGTAGAACCCCCCTCCCCACCCCGAGCCGCCTCCCCGCTCTCTGCCCCTCCCCGCTCTAAGCCCCTTCCCCCATCTCAGTTCACTACGCACAATGTCGCACCCGCTCGTCCCAACCCCACTCCACCCGTCTCCGCCCCTCTCCGCGCCTCACCTCTCATTCAATCATTCCTCTCCCTCTCCGCCTCCCCCCCTCACCCCCGTTGCAGCGCCATTCCACTCCGCCGCGCACCCAGCCGCAGCAGCAGCCGGCGCGGATCAGAATGCGGGCGGCGGTGGCTGGGGGACGGGGGGAGGCGGAGCGGAGGGGGGAGGCGGAGGGGAGGGGCGGAAGGAGGAGGACGGGGAGTGGCGGCAGTGGATTCAGCAAGCGCTCTCAAGTGAGTGCTGCTGACACGTGGCAGCGTATCACACACAGAGCACGTGGCAGTGTCGCACGCTAGGCTCTAATGAATGCAATTACCACGTAGCAGCTTCTCACTCCAAGCTCTAGTAGCCAGCTCACCATTGCCACGCACACCTGGCGAAGTGAACTGCTTCGTTGCTGAACCCTTATCCTGCCACGTGGCACTCACCAGCGTTGCGTGTTGCATGTGTGCTGCACGTGCGTGCTGCACGTGTGTGTGTGCTTGGTCGCTTGGCAGAGGATGGGGAAGGGGGAGGCAAGGAGGGCCGTGAGCAGCAGGCACGCGCAGCAGTAGGTGGGTGGTCCATCGCACAGCACCTCCCCTCTACCTCTGGTTGTGTCATCTATTTCACTTTGCCCATGCGCTCTTCCCCTTGCCGCCGCGTCTCTCCGTCCTTCCTCACTTCCCTCCCCTTTCCCTCCCTTCCCTCTCTCTCTCTCTCTTCTGCCTACATCACTGCCCCCACACCACACCCTTTCCAGCATCTCTCCATGTCTTCCCCCCCGTCCCCGTCCCTCCGTGCAGCCAAGCTAAGCAGTCAGTCAACCTTTTCCTCCCTGTCTCTTCCCCCTCCCCCATCCCCGTGCCTCCGTGCAGCCAAGCTGCAATCAGCCGCGGCCCAGTCCCCCTCTTCCTCCCCTCCCCTCCGCCCTCCCCCCCAACGCTTCTCCGCTCGCTCTTCCGCTCCCCCTTCCTTCTCCTCCTCCCCCCCTTCATTCTCTTCCCAAGATTTCGATGAGTTAGAAGCGTTGATAGGGCCTGATGAGGAGGAAGAGGAGGAGCAGAGGAACGGAGGGAGGAGAGGAGGGGAAGAGAGCAGGGGAGGGATGAGAGTGGGAGGGGAGAGAGGGGATAGAGTGGAGGGAGGGAGAGGGGAGGTGAAGGAGGAAGTGGAAGGGAGTTATGGGAGAGGGGGGCGCGCAGGGGGATACGGTGGGCGGAGTGGAGGGGGGAGGAGCTGGGGAGAGGGGGAGGAGTGGGGGGGACGGGCAGGAGGAGGCGGGGAAGGGGCAAGGGGGAGGTATGGGGGAGGGGGAGCCGGAGGGGTGGGCAGCTGGGGGGGCGGGGGCCCATGGCAGGGGGTGGCGGAGGTGGAGGCGGAGATGGTGCTATCAGACAGGGCGATGAGAGCGGTGAGGGAGGTAGATCTGGAGGAGGGCGAGGCAACCTTTCAGTTCCGCCCTGATCGCACCTACTACCCTGGGCAGACGTACTCCGCTGAGGTAGGTGGTTCAGATGTGCTCTGCTGAGGTGCGGGCCAGCCCAGGTATAGGCTCGCAGATTAGACCTATCGTTGGCTCAAAACGGAGAGCTTTCAGTTCCACCCTGATCGCACCTACTACCCGGGGCAGACCTACTCCGCTGAGGTGAGAACATGGGGGGAATGGGGGGGGGGGGCATGGCAGGTAGAGGCGGAGATGGTGCTATCAGACAGGGCCATGCGGGCGGTGAGGGAGGTGGACCTGGAGGAGGGCGAAGCTACCTTCCAATTCCGCCCTGATCGCACCTACTACCCTTGGCAGACCTACTCCGCTGAGCTGAGGGGTCTGTTTGTGAGGCGCCTCAAACACCGGACAGACACAGACCTGCTCCGCTGAGGTGAGGGCAGAGCGGCCATGGGCCCATAAGGTAGGCAGTTCAGTCCTGCGCTAAGGTAGGCGGGATGGAGGGCATTAGCAGGCGAACTACTGGGGCAGACCTAGGGGTACTGCAGGGACTAGGTGTCATATTGCACTTGCAAACAAAAAAATGGCAACGTGTTATGATGCACTTAGGAGTCACGTCCTTGTGATTGTATCAAGCATGGCATGTGCCTATGGCCTCTCCCTGTGTTTCTCTCTTGTGGCTGGCAGGAGCTGGACATATCCCAGCCCCTTCCCGACGGCCCGGGGGAAACGCTCGTTGCTTATGAGTGTATCAAGCTTGGCATGTGTTATATGGCCTCTCTCTCTCTCTCTCTCTCTCTCTCTCTCTCTCTCTCTCTCTCTCTCTCTCTCTCTCTCTCTCTCTCTCTCTGCTGTCTCTCTCCGCTCTCTGTTTCTCTCTCGTGGCTGGCAGGAGCTTGACATATCCCAGCCCCTTCCCGACGGCCCGGGGGAAACGCGGCGCAAGCTGCCCACCCCCACCACCAAGGAGGCTCTGCGCGCTGCTGACTTCCGCGTGAGATGGGGGGAGGGGGGGGATGGGGGCACAGGGGGGGAGAGTGTGTGAGGCGGACAGTGGTTGAGGGGCACAAAGTGGGAGTGGGTAAGAGTGCAAGCTGCCCACCCCCACCACCAAGGAGGCCCTGCGTGCGTGCTGCTGACTTCTGAGTGAGATGGGGAGAGGGGGGGAAAGGGGACACAGGGGGGGAGAGTGTGGGGGGGCAGTAAGAAAAAGCACAGGGGAGAGTGAGGGGGAGGGGGCAGAGAGGGGGAGTGGGCGAGCGGGGCCGGGGGAGGGGGAATGGGCAAAGGGGGGGACAGAGAATTGGGAACGAACATGGATGGAAGGACAAGAAGATGATACCCCGGGCAGCAAATAGGGGCATGGAGGAACGGGAAAAAGTCAGCACACAGGGTCAGTAGGGGTGCTACGTTTTCTGCCTGCCCATCCAAGAGGCTGCCTCCAAATCGTTGCCATTTGCCTTTACACTCTTTGCGTCTCCCCTGTCTCCCCCTCAGAATGTGCGCTTCCTGTCACAATTCATCTCTGAAACCGGCAAGATCAAACCGAGAAACAAGGTGAGCCCACTCCCTCACTCCTCATGTAACCTTCCATATTGCACTACTGTCTGTGTTGCCTGCTTGTCCTCCTCACTCTCACTACTCGTGGACTCTTTTCCTTGGTAACTATTAAGCACACCCTCACCTGTTTCATGCTCCGCCTCCTCACCTCCCCATGCCATGACTCCATCCTTTCTCCCCGGGCCTCGTGCCATACCAACCCTGCAGACTCGGCTGTCTGCCAAGGCGCAGCGCCGTGTGGCTCGGGAGATCCGAACCGCGCGGGTGTTTGGTCTCATGCCGTTCACGCAGGCAGGCCGGCCGCCGTTTAGGTTCGGCAAGGACCCGAACCTGGAGTCAGGGGAGCCGGAGCAGGAGGAGCTTGAGCTGGCAGCTGCTGTGGAGGATGTGAAGGAGCTCAAGGCCATGGCTGGGAGATAGCTGGCTTGCTCATGGCTAGTTGGAGACTAGAGCAGGGGAATTAAGTACTTTCATCAGGCACATTGGCTTATGGTTGTGATATACTCTACTCTACCATAGTATTTGCCTAAGTGAAATATCAACATGTGGCCCTTTTTACTAAGCTAGCAGATGCCAACAGATGATTCCTACGATTGACCATATGAGTGGAAGATACATATCTCTGGCCTAGCTACACTGCTCACTTCCCTTGGACACCCTTGTGCATGGCCACCCCAACATCATCAGTATCTGAGGTTGACACCTGAATGTTGCCCGTTGAGCCTCATCTTAGACATCTCATACGCCGCTGCATCCGCTGCACTGCTCCCGTAACTCCCCCCATCGCCCGCCCCCCGTTGCACCACGTTGGGCGGCAGCCCACTCAACGGCAGATGCTGCTCCTCCTGCCCCGGCATGGCTGGCACGGCCCTGGAAGGCCATCTCATGCCTGCACTAGCGCCTGCTTCAAGTACAGGGGCAGCAGCGCCTGCTTCGAGCACGGAGGCATCGAAGGTGGCGAAGGTGCCGCCACGGGCTACGTGCTCGCGCACGCGGAGGATGCCCATTTGGAGGTACTCCCTCATTGTCTCGCTGATGCTGGCCAGCCGTGCAAACACGTCAATCTGTTGTGTGGGAGGGCACACGAAAAGGAGCGCATGAGAGGGGGAGTGCATGAGAGGGGGGCGCATGAGAGGGGGAGTGCACACAAAGGATGCCCATTTGGAGGTACTCCCTCATTGTCTCGCTGATGCTGGCCAGCTGCGCAAACACGTCAATCTGTTATGTGGGAGGGCGCACGAGGGGGGGGCGCATGAAGGGGAGCGCATGAGAGGGGGAGTGCACGCGGAGGATGCCCATCTGGAGGTACTAATTGTGTCGCTGATGCTGGCCAGCCATGCAAACACGTCAATCTGCGATGTGGGAGGGCTCATGAGAGGGAGCGCATGAGAGGGAGCGCATGAGAGGGAGCGCATGAGAGGGAGAGGATGAGGCGGCGCGAGGGAGTGGGAAGGGCATCAGTTGATTAGAGCATTGAGCAGGGAGGCGAATGCGGTGAGGGCGTTCAAGAATGGAGAGGCATAAGGATCCATCGACAAGGAGTCCAGCATACCGTGTGTGACTGTATGTAGTAGTGAGCTTACCCCAGGGTGTGACTGCATGTAGTAATGAAGCTCGAAAAGGCTGACTGCCCCTTGCTTGCGATCCACTATCTTGCGCACTATGCTCTGCAACTCGTCCTGGTCGCGTGCAGCGGAGACAAGGGGGAGAGTAAGAGGGACAGGGGTCGAGCAGGATTGCTTTAGGAAGCAGAAACAGGACTCAGAAGGACTGGCACCGAGGGAGTGGTCACAGTGGGTACAGATTGGTAACTGGCATGCCTTAGGTGGCTACACTATTCGACGGGCTCACCTGGTCAGGCAGCGAGGAGTCATCGGGCGCTGCTGCAGCATCAGCATCAGCAGCGGAGGAGCGTTCGAGGACCTGTTGGAGCACGAGGTCGACCTGCTGCAGGATGAATGGCTGCGGTGTCTCGTCGATGGGGATCAGCGACAGATGCCCCTTGATGGCCGGGCCCTTGGCTGCCACCGCCTCTGCCAGGATCTTGCGGAACATGGATAGCGTGCGCTCGTCCGTGGTCACTCTGGTGGAGAGGTGAGAGGGAGCAGGGGCACGGGGGAAAGGATTTATGAGGCGCCGCAAAGAGAGGCTGCCACAGCCTCTGCCAGAATATGGAGAGCGTGCGCTCGTCCGTGGTCACTCTGGTGGAGAGGTGAGAGGGCGCAGGGCCACGGGGGAGAGGATTCTTGAGAGGAAACTCAAAAAGAGGCCGCCACCGCCTCTGCCAGGATCTTGCGGAACATCGATAGAGTGCGCTCGTCCGTGGCCACTCTGGTGGAGGGGAGGGGGACGAAGGTGGAGAATGGAGGAGAACTGGGGTATAACGGCAGAGAAGGGACATTTCAGGGGTGTGGACGGGTGATAGCAGCAAGACCAGCCAGCCCATGCAGGCCCGCAGCCAGATCGCACTGCAAGTCGAGCAGAAGAAAAGAGTTAAGTGATGTGAAGCATTAGCTTATCAACTTAAACGAAGGAGCACCAAGGGTTTGCCACGTGTGACGGAGGTGTGGCATCTGCATGCACCATGGGTGCACGGCTGGCTCACCTCCTTCTGAGCTCGGCGTGGGAGAAGTCGCTGAAGTACTGGTGGATGCCAAACAGCAGGCGGTCAAAGTCCATGTCCGCCACGTACCCACTGAAGTTCTGCATGGGGGGGAAGTGAGGACGGCATGGGTGGAGGAGTCAGGGAGGCTATGTTTGAGTCGACCCAAACAGCAGGCGGTCTAAGTCCATGTCCGCCACGTACCCACTGAAGTTCTGCACCCACGGAGCAAAGGTGGTACGGATGGAGCGACGGAGGTATTGGTGACGCGTTCGGGCAATGTGTCCAATATGAACGGGAAAATGTTTCCGAAAGAGAGATGGCCATGATGGAAGAGGTCGTTGATTCTGGGCACGATAAGGAAAGTGGAAGGAAGCATGGCACCCTGTCGGACCTTGCACATGCGCAGCAGCCACCTGGTTTTTTTTAATCAAATTAAGAACCACCCCTGACTGACCTTGCACATGCGCAGGAGGCACTTGACAACGAGTGCGGCGAGCGGCGTGCCATCAGGCCCCTTGACATCAGCGGCTGTTGACCCCTTGATGGTGTAGGTGGGGCGCAGGATGGTCATGAAGGAGAGGAAGAGCGGTGTGGAGGGCGCGGTGTCCAGGATCTTGAGCAGCAGGATGTTGACGGCGCGGCACAGGTCGGCGGACGAGTCGTCGGGGTTGCGCTGCTTGACGCGCTCGTGCAGCATGAAGATGGTCATGTCTTCTAACAGCAATCGCAGGTCGTCGTCGGGAATCTGCATGCTCAACGACTTGGTCTCGAACAGCTGTATGCAGTGAGGGGAGGAGGGGTAGAATCGTATGGAGAGGGGGTTGAGTGGGCCTTGTGGATGGGCAAGGCAGAACGGCACATCGCATGCAGCTGCAGGAAGGGAGAATAGGAGGTGTCAGCAGGTGTCAGACGGAGAAGACTAGGGGATCCAGGAGGAGGGTGCTTGGAGGATGGGGTAGTTTGGAAGAGGGAGTGCTTTGCATCAGCTGCAGGGCTTGTTACCTCAATGCACAGTTGAAGGGCAAGCAGGGTAGGCCAGGGTGGCAGGCTAGGGCAGGGCGTACCGTGAGCAGGGAGTTGAGGATGTACTTTCACCTGTGCGTGTCAGTAACGGACAGGTGGGCTGAGGAGGCTGTGCGTGGCAGTGTGGCTAGGAAAGGGCGTACCGTGAGCAGCGAGTTGAGGATGTACTTGTAGGTCTTGACCTGTGCGTCGGGAACGGAGCGCACAAAGAACTGCACAAACTGCATAGTGCAGGTGAGTGGGCAGAGGGGCATGGGGCAAAAGGGGAAGGCCAGAATTTTTTATGAGTAACCGTCTTCTGATGATTTTAGAGGTGCACAGCACACAACACCTGCTACCAGAGAAACCAAGCACATGCATGACCGCCCTGTATTCACTGCCATACCTGGAAGCGCAGCATCTTGATGTAGCGCGGCATGTGCTCCCGGAACACAGCGAGCACGCGGGGGTCCTCCTCTGTGATCCCCCGGCGCATCTCATGGAACAGGTACTTGAGCCCCTCCACCACCCTCTCCGGCGCCGCCTCGCGGTCGATGAACAGAATCGCCTCAAAGAATGACTCTGGCGCCGAGTGCCCTGAGTGTGATGAGTGTGCATAGGCGTGGCTGTCTGTTGCGCGGTGGCGGCTCATGGCCGCCATGTGGCTTGGGGCGGTCACCATGGGCTCCGTTGCTCTGTGTGGCATGCCTGGAGCGATGCCTGCTCCGTTACCGTACGCGGGTTGTTGGTAGTGGCTGGGCGCTGCTGCTAGTGGCTGGGCAGCTTCCGCCATGTGCATCCTCGTGGCCCTGGTGGCGAAAGCAAAAACCGGGAAAAATGAGGACCAGTGGATAGTTGCAGAGAAGAGCAGCCAAAAGGGAAGAAACTACCTGAAAAGGAATGCGAGTGTAACAGGTGAGGGGGGCTTATGCTTACAAGGGCAGGGCTCCAATGGGTACATGCGCTTCCATGCCTGCCGCCCCTCCTCCTGACATGCGCATGCCCCTCTGCTGACCTGGTGCCCCCTCCCTGCGCTTCTCCATCTCTCTCGCCTGCACACACGTACGCAAAGGCAACGGGGTAGATGGCCACAATGTTGGGGGAGAAGCGCTTGAACGGGAGGCACACTGGCATTCGAGTCACGGACAGCCAAGCAGGAAGCAAACTGCAAGCAAGGGATAAAGTTCAACCAGATAAAGTGGTGGAAGTCAGAGAGAAAGGGTCCTGGAGAAGCGAGGGAGGAGGGAGTCATTTTAGGAGGGAGTGATGGAAGGAAGGAGTGAGGGAAGGGGGGAGTGAGAGCAGGTACCTTCCACTTGAGCTTGTCTTCAATGAGCCCTCTCTGCGCATCAGTGAGTTTCCCCAGCAGGCGCCAGATGTCATCCCCCAGCACCACGTACACGGACGCCAGCATGCTCAGCGCCGCCTTGCGCAGCTCCGTGTCCCTCTCCGTGGTCAGCGCCGCCACCGTCACCAGCGGTACCCTCGAGCTGCCCATCGTCTGCACACATGGCGGGTACACGGGGGAGCATGGGAGCATGGATATGTAGCCGAGAATAGAGGGAGAATGTTTCACGAAAAAGGGTAAGCTGGGGGAGGATGGGGCGGGAGGGACGAAGAGAAGATGAGGAGGAAAGGTGGGAACAAACCGCTCACCTCAATGCCGTGCCTCTCCAGCATGGCGTCCATGTGCTCCACGCATTCAATGCGCGTGCGGTTGTTCTTGGACCGCAGCCCCTCCACCAGCGCCTGGAACACGCGCGTGGCCGGGAACACCAGCGGCAGCGACCGCATGAGCTCCCGCATCTTCTCC